CCTCACCAGACCGTAGACTCGCTGTATGCGCTAACGCTGAGCAAAATATCTCGAGCTAATTTCTCAAGGTCGAGTTTCAAGTTTCGAGGTCAAATCTTGAGCTAATGAAGACGCGATTTGTAACTTAGGGATTATTTCCCAAATCAGAAATAGTGGGCTATTTGGCAATCTCGAGATGATGACGACGCGCCTACTGTATATTCTACATATTTTTTTACAATGATAGTTTATTTCATTAATGATATCTTGCGGGCTCACAGACTTAGGGCGCGTTCATGCTTGATTTTGAAGGCAGAATGAGCGATTTGTAACGCTCATCGTAAACGCTCATCGTAATCGCAGTTCCACGGTGCACTGTTCATGCTCACTTCTCCAGGCAATTCTCCTTGGGTGGCCTTCAGCTGGATTCGCAAACCTGTGTGCTCATGCTACGTAGACCCACTAGAGGTCAGTGCGTTGACCCCATTTAAACGCGTTTACAAATTGTAAACGCATCTTTTTGTGAGTTTACGATCGGCGATCGTGATCGCCGTTTTTCGGTGATTCTACAAAAGTGAGCATGAACGCAATCGTGTTTTAAACTAAACGCGTAACAGATGCCTGATTCTGGCCGTCAAAATCAAGCATGAACGCGCCCTTATAGAGCTATTGTATTTATTAAAAAAAAAAAAAAAAAAAAAATCGCTGATTTTGTTTATTTTATCGTTCTATTACAAGAAGCTCGTTATCAATATTTGATTGCTTCTTTCAAAGGATAAAAGATGTAAGAAAGTCGCAATGGTAATATGAAAAATCTACAATATAAAGAAAAAGACAAGTGCTATCCACATGCACAGTTTAGGGATAGCGAGATAAAGAGAAATAGAGAAAGAGAGAGGGGGAGAGAGAGAGAGAGAGAGAGAGAGCAAAAGAGAGCGAGAAAGAGAGAGAGAGCAAGAGAGAGAGAAAGAGAGATAAGGCCCGCCTTCACTATCTCGAGATTGCCAAATATCCAGCTATTTGAACTATCCCGATCGCAAACTATCCAGCTAATTGCGTCTTCATTAGACCGAAGTAGCAAATTAGCTGGATAGTTGGTCGGGATAATATCCCAAGATATCTCGGTCTAGTTTGCAAAATATCCCACTATTTCCGAACTAGCGGGATAGTTTGCGACCGTCTTCATTAGACCGAAGTACGGAGTCAAATATCCCGATCCCATCATGCACAACGATTTCCGGTTCGCACAGCGATCTATACCGCTCAGCGCGCTAGTACAACCACTGACCTCGAGTAAACACGGAAAACCGCAAACTAGACCGAGATATCTTGGGATATTATCCCGACCAACTATCCAGCTAATTTGCTACTTCGGTCTAATGAAGACGCAAATTAGCTGGATAGTTTGCGATCGGGATAGTTCAAATAGCTGGATATTTGGCAATCTCGAGATAGTGCAGACACGCCTATAGAGAGAGAGAGAGAGAGAGAGAGAGAGAGAGCAAGAAAGAGAGAGAGAGAGAGAGAGAGCAAGCAAGAAAGAGAGAGAGAGAGAGAGAGAGAGATTGATTCTCAAATGTCTATGTTTAAACAAATCACCAGCATGTCCAGATCAGTTCGCTATCAATTGCGCAATATTTGCTTCATACGAAAATATCTGACTCGTTCGGCAACAGAGAAACTCGTTCACTCACTTATCTGTTCACGTCCGGATTTCGGCAACAGTTTACTCTATAATTATTTACCAAATTCACAAATTGCAAAGTTACACAAACTACAAAACGCAGCTGCACGCATCATTTCTCTGTTAAGCAAACATAGTCACATTACACCTATCTTACAAAATCTCCATTGGTTGCCTGTAAAAGAACGTATAATTTTCAAAATCCTTCTTTTAGTTCATCAAATCATGAACAGAACAGCTCCTGAATACAACCAATCTTTAGTTCACCTCTACCAACCCACACGTACCCTCCGATCCTCGAACTCTGGTCTTCTACACATGCTGCTTTCAAAGAAATCTTGGGGGGAACGAGCTTTTTCCTCATGCCGGACCAGCCCTGTGGAATTCACTTCCACAGGAGCTGAAGAACTCCGACTCTTCAACGTCTTTTAAGAGCAACCTTAAATCCCATTTGTTTAATTTCGCGTTTTGAAGACAGACATTCATTCATTCTTTCATTTTTGCATTTTCTGTCTTATTAATGTACACGATTCTTTGTGATGGTGTAATGTGTTCCCTATTAATATTATTTTGAAGCTGACGCCTTGAGCATTTAATTACAATGGATAATGGCGCTATATAAATCTCATGTATTAATATCATTAGTAGAGAGAAAGCAAGAGAGAGAGAGAGAGAGAGAGAAAGAAAAACAAAACAGATAAATATTGAGAGGGACCCCCACACAAAAAATACAGGGAACGCTAAAGTGTTCCATTTTTGACTTCATTTGAGAGTAAATCATACATTTAACATGATATTTTATTTTCCATTTTGCTTACAGACATTTCTCAAAGGGCTTTTACCTTCATTCAATCCAAGGGATCAATATTTTTGTTACTTGTTCGGGCTTCGGAGGAGTGGCACGGGAATTTTCTACTGGCTGGATGATACTGCAATCGAGTATGTTCTAATATGATTCCTCTGTCAAGATCAGTCAAGATAAAAGACTACATGTTGATGAACACCTATGCATGTCTAGATTCAATATGCAGTTGCAATTCTCCTCAAAGCACTTGTCATTTAAATGTATCTAGCGTATATTAAAAATTATATACTTCATTAGCATACTTTGTGATATCTATGTTAAAAATGGATATCTAGAAGATGGAATATAAAAAGCTTTGCTCAACAATACGAGAGCATGAAGTTACGACCAGATTTAGCCCTACTTCTTTACCTTCTACATACTAACAGTATTTATGTATCATATTCGAGAGGGGATAAGGTTAATGTGAATTAATATTTGAATTCAAATTCATTTTAATGATTGATATCCAAGCCTCCATGTTTATTCTCAATATTACACGAAAATGAAATAATAATGATAATTACAATGATGATTAAAAAAAATAACGATATTAAGGATGATGATGATAAAAATGATAATGATGATAATGATCATAAAATAATATTGATGATAATAATTACAATACTACTACTACTTCTACTATTATTACTATACTGTTACTACTACTAATTATGATAATTATGATAAAGATCATAATATGAACTTAATATATAAACCGTTTTTCCTCCGAGGTATAATGATTGGTACAAGGGAGTAGAACCCAATAACGCTGACTCCTGGGGTTGTCTTGGTACGCGTGATGGTCCTTCATGGTATGATTCACAGCTATCTTCACAGTACATTTGTGAGCGTACACGAGGTATGAATTCTGATGATCCAACATTAATTGTGTTCTGGCGACAGTTGCTCCGGGCTATATTTCAACATACGTGTTGTCTCGGGATCATAAGGTAATTGGGTTTTAGGTTAGAGTTAGGTTTTGGGTCGGGGTTAGCATTAGGGTAAAGTGCTGAAGTTTGGAATTCGATTAGTGTAAGCAATCTACCGAAGAGCAATTGTCGCTGGAATATGTTTCGTGCAAGTAGAATTTTGAAATGCTTCTAAGATCGTTTGATTATTGCGCTACTCCTTAAACTAAATCCGTTATCATCAAAACATAATAAAACAATAACTTTATCAATCCATCGTGAGATGTATGGCTGTTGTAGAAACTCTGCTTTCGTAACTTTCTACAAAAAATGCCACTTAAACTGTTCGATTCATGTAAACAAAATTATAATCTGTATTGAACTCTTTCGTATTCCTACACCGGCGAACTAAACAGTTTATATAGAATTTATCTTTCAGAAATTAATTACTGACCCATTGTATTTGAACATTTAAAAAGTATCGTCGAATGGACTTTGAAGAATCAGAGAAAAGTTGACAAAATTTCGTTGGTATCACAATCTTTCTCAACACGATACACTGTCAAATAGAAATTCTGTTTTATTACAGTATTTGATGGAAGCAGTGAAGCACCATTTGGAGGTCTATATTATTTCACCTCTCCGTCATGGCTGGCTAGGTCTTTCTTAGATGCACGGACTTACTGTCAACATCATGGAGCTGATTTAGCACTCATCAAATCACACGATATCAACGTATGTTCAAGTATACTTCTTTTCAGCTATTGATATCCAAAATGTTGTTATCATGAAACCTTTCATATTTATGTACTTGTTGTTGTTACCATGGGTGTCGATCCGTAACTGATACCTATTCATCAGGGGGGGGGGGGTGGGATGATCTATTCATTCATCCCCCCTGATGAATAGGTATTACGTAAGGATCGACACCCATGGTTGTTACATTAGTAATTTATTTCATAGCTGGGAAGTTTACATAGGTATTGTGCCGGTCTGTCGCTGTGGTATATTGGAAACAAATATTTGTATATAACACGATTGAAAGACGTATATGTGACGAAGTAGGCCAACTGGTTCCTCGTCAACGCCCATTTAAATAATTCCAAAAGGGTGATTGTAGTTGATAGCGGATATAATATAACAGTCCTGTAAACACTGTCATAATCCTTAGCTTTGAAGCTTTCCAATATATTTCAAAACAGACTATTCTCTGATGACGCCGCTATTTCATTCATGTTTATACCGTGATAAAAAGAAACTCGATCCGTTCTTTTGTTCAGAAGTAGTGTGATGGATATATTCCAAATATTACGTCTGTATTATAAACAGTACCGTAGCTGCGAACAGTATTGTCAAAGTAGCATCATGCAGCTTCAAACGAACGAATAATTTACACTTCAAATATAATATAATATACTGAGCGTCAAAATGAATTCTTTAGTTATCGCCTGTCGGGTTCATTGCAGGCGATTAACTTTAATTAAAAAATCGACACAAATTGCTTTAGAGCCGTGCAAATATGAAAACATGAAAAGCAAATGAGGTTCATGAGATGACATTTTTTCCTTCCCAACAGACCTTTCTTTATATCAGGAGTTCAGGATTAAGTTCCTATGGATTTTTTGGTTTGACTGATCAAGCAATTGAAGGCACATTTACTTGGATCGACGGAACACCTTTACAGTAGGTTCAATACATATAAAATGCAAACTTAATGGTTTCTATTTTGAAATGAATGGCAAGCTCGAAATATTACTCTTTAATGATATACTTTTTAAAATGTCCATCTCATTGTTTGTAGGTTCAATAATGAACCTATAACAAAACAGTAAGAAAATTAAAAATTCCGCGGACATTATTCAATGTAACCTGAATATTATTAATAATTTATAAAAATCCGTTTTTCTAAAAGGCATGGTAAGCGTAACCTTAATTAATCAGATTTTGATCGCTAACTCATGTTTCATATTGAAATTATTGCAGTCATAACTAAAAATACCTGTGTTTTGCATTTCGTTCTGCAATTGAGGGTGTGTGTAAACTTGAAACATTATTTCCATCAATTTCCATGCAATTCAAAAAAAAAGAATTTAAGAATTAAGAATTATATAATAGTATACAAATAGTGAATGGTCATGAGTGCAATGGTACAAGATTTTGCACGAGGTGAAAGATAAGAGACGCTATATTCAACGAGGCGCAGCTCATCTTTCACCGAATGCAAAATATTGTTCCATTGCACGAATAAAGACCATTCACTATTTGTTTTATACAACACCTCGGATGTTAGCGGGCCTAAAACAGTTTTCCTAGGCCTTAATCTCGGCGATTTTTTGTTTGTTTTCAATTGATGAAATTGTTGATAGTGAGCGCGCACTATTTTAAGCAGGCAGCAAACCACGCACGTACCATGCGCCGCGCGTACCAACCTTTATGTTTATTGTTACGCGGGGTGCAATTTCGTACGGAAGCCCATTAGTGCCACCATACGAAATAAAATTTAAGAGGAATTATCTGGGGTCCGCCAGTTAATTATCTGGCGGCCGCCAGATAATACGTGCCTTCACGGTTGTTTCATCGCAAAGCATGCCGGAACATAATCTAGTACATTTTTACCTTCGCCGTGATCAGCTGTCCCGTTGCAAACAACGGGATTCTTATGGAAGCAACATCTTAATCTTGTACATAATCCGCTATTCTGCAGTGATTTTCTTTCACTCCAGTATCATTTGTACGGTAAGAAACCAAAGTTTGTGTTTATTCATTTTTATGACGAATACAGCTGATAATACGACGTAATGAGAGTGGTCCGAGGTCCAACTTTAGTAAATGTAGGCCTAGATCTAGTCCCGTATGTTTAAATGTGTGTGCATTTTAAGTAGACTGATTGCCTTATAAGCTCCTAAACACTCGTGTTTTAGGTAGAAGTTAACCTAATTTACATTAAAATGAGACTTATGTCTCAGGAAATATGAATAGGTCTAGATCCTATAAACTATACATAATTGATATTGGAATAGGATCTACTAGTATGGCCGACAGTTAGATAGTGATGGTGATGGCAAATGAATTAGTCTAGGCCCTAAATGTAACAAAAATAAAAAAGAGGCCATGAAAACGATAGATTTGTCGATCTGGATCTGGATATAATAGTCTGATATCGATGACCTGAACTTGAGCATCTACATAGGTCTACATGAACTTGTGTTAAAGAAGTGATAAGGTTTCTTTTGTTACAATTATTCTTGTGGTCACAAACTTAAATTTGATTGCCTTTCTCCTTTTATTTATCAGTTGCAGCATCATCGAACACTATGACCAATGAATCAGAAGATCTATGTTACTAGAGAGCTCATTTCACAATGGACAACAGAAGTGCTACGTGACTTTCTACAAGGAGGAGACTCGAGCTTGTAAACCAAGGAGTCATTATTTTATGGGTGTTCTCTGCCGGCTGCCTTGACGCTGGGGGTAGCTTTTCAGCCATCCGAGGTTAAGACTGAGAGGAACTGGACAATGGATGGATAGGGGGGACGGGGGGGGGGGGGGGGGGGGGGGGGGGGGGGGGGGGGGGGTAGGGGGGTAGGAATGCAGAACTGGCCTACTATGTATGTACCTACTGGATAAGGACCCTCCATCACTAGAGGGAAAAGTAAAGAGAGACTTCAAAGAGGGGAAGGCCTTTAGTTATTTTGCCTTGTGAAAAAAATTAGATTTAGCCCCTAAAAAAGCGTTCCTTCGGGTATCAAATGACGACAGGTGAAACCTCACAATATTGTAGAATTATTATCTGTAATGTGATTTCCAAACCATGTGACAGCCAATGGTGTATGTTGTAAAGGTATTGTAAAAGGCATTGTTTAACACCAGCCCCCCCCCCCCCCACTCCGTGTGACAAAGTCCAGCCCGAGAATTGTACAAAAAGGGGTGTATTAACTTTTCACCCGGAGATTTCTTTAAAAAGGGGGTATTTTTTCTTTTCTTCTCTTATCTCTTTGGACTCCTGAGAAATTATTCCGAATTTAGGGGTACATTGAGCATTTTTCATGATTTAGGGGAGTCTCCAAGGCAGGAAAAGCCCGCGAAAGGGGGGTTCGTAAAAATGTTGGCAGTCCTCAGATAGGGGGTGCTTTCAAAAAGAGGGAACAAGCATATGCGTACCCTAAATAACACTGAGTGGGGGCGGGGGCGGGGTTTAACAATGTTTAATTCGAGATTGACGTATGGCCCTACGCGCTACCAGTGTCTGAGATATGGTGTATTAATACTGAGCCCTAACAAAATCGCGCTTCAAAATGATCAAGAAGTGCCTCAAAAAAGTAAAAATCTTTGACCCCTTTTACCATACTCGTTTTCCCCAATAGACTTGTAGTGTTATGAAAAGCGTTTGACAAACACAAAATTTGGTTTCGATTTCCAATCGTAAATATCTTGATAAATAATCAGACAGGCGATCGGATTGTAAAAGTCATCAAGTTCTTGACTGACCTAAAATTATCATTGCAGCATGAGCTAAATCCAGGATTTCGTTTCAGAATCTGAGATAATATTACCGGATCCCTTTAAATGCGTTTGCATTAAAGGTGGTACCCCCCCCCCCCCCCAACTCAGTCTTATTTAGGGTACGCACATGCGTGTTCCCAGCACCCCCTTTATTTTAGCATATAGGTCCCCTGTGTTAAGTCAATACGGGTAGATTTTGTTTCTTTGTTATACAAGCCTTTTCAGCACCCCCCCCCCCCCCTTCTCAGCCAAAGTCCAGTGTGTAAAGTCAATACGGGCAGATCTTTTTCATTGCAAAACTCCAGAGAATCCAAAACTCTGCTGCCAGGCTCTGTTCACTTTGATGTACATGTACGCATAGGCGCCGGAAGTGGGGGGGGGGGGGGGGCAGGGGGGGCAGTTGCCCCCCCCCAGTCAAAAAAGTGGGGGGGCAAAACGCATTTTTGCCCCCCCAAAACGCCCCCCCCCCCCCTCCAAAAAAAAAAAAAAAACAGTAAAGGAGTAAACATGGTTTGTATTTTTAATCCAAAAGAACGTAACAATAATAAAAACCTGAATTAAATCACATATACAATTCCATTCAAAGAAAAAGGAAAGTTCACAGGAATTAAATTTCATAAACATTGCGCATGCCACCTATACGGTATTTATCAATGGAGGTCTCTATAATAGCGATACGCGCATATCGTGGACATATTGTGCGAGAATGGGAAAGCGTGTCCGTTTTTTTGTTATAGGGGTGAGAAGACATGAGCCCCTGAACGTTGGCGTACTGATGGGGGGGGGGGGGGGGGTGATGTATTTCTTATTCGAAACAAGTGATATACAAATGTTGATGTTGTGACATGATTTTCCGGCATTTTTTCTCCATTTTTTTTGTAAGTCATACCTTCTTATGCGTTTGTTGGAAAATAAGAAATTCCCAAATTACAGTCGGGCGAAATACGCTTATTTAGAAGCCTTTATGTCATGGTCTGCAAAGTGGCTGGGCTCGAGCCCCCCCCCCCCCCTCCTTTTTTGAAAAAGTATGTTAAAGAGAAAAAGAAAGAAAGACGGAGAAAAAAATAAGTGACCTGCCAATGTCACAAATAAGGTATAAAAAATGCTCATCTGACCGTAATTAAATGCTTAAAACCCCAGAGCTTACGGGGGCTCTGCCCCCGGACCCCACTAAGGGACCTAAGGCGGGCCCCTGGATGCTCATCTGACCGTATTTAAATACCTAAAACCCCCGAGCTTCCAGGGGCTCTGCCCCCTGGACCCCAACAAGGGCTCTAAGGCGGGCCCCTGGATGCTCATCTGACCGTAATTAAATACCTAAAACCCCTGAGCTTCCGGGGCTTTGCCCCTGGACCCCACCAAGGGCCCTAAGGCGGCCCCCTGGATGCTCATCTGACCTTAATTAAATACCTAAATCCCCTGAGCTTCCGGGGGCTCTGCCCCCTGGACCCCACCAAGGGCCCTAAGGCGGCCCCCTGGATGCTCATCTGACCTTAATTAAATACCTAAAACCCCTGAGCTTCCGGGGCTTTGCCCCCTGGACCCCACCACGGGCCCTAAGGCGGCCCCCTGGATGCTCATCTGACCGTAATTAAATACCTCAAACCCCTGAGCTTCCGGGGCTTTGCCCCTGGACCCCACCAAGGGCCCTAAGGTGGCCCCCTGGATGCTCATCTGACCTTAATTAAATACCTAAATCCCCTGAGCTTCCGGGGGCTCTGCCCCCTGGACCCCACCAAGGGCCCTAAGGCGGCCCCCTGGATGCTCATCTGACCTTAATTAAATACCTAAAACCCCTGAGCTTCCGGGGCTTTGCCCCCTGGACCCCACCACGGGCCCTAAGGCGGCCCCCTGGATGCTCATCTGACCGTAATTAAATACCTCAAACCCCTGAGCTTCCGGGGCTTTGCCCCTGGACCCCACCAAGGGCCCTAAGGCGGCCCCCTGGATGCTCATCTGACCTTAATTAAATACCTAAAACCCCTGAGCTTCTGGGGGCTCTGCCCCCTGGACCCCACCAAGGGCCCTGAGGCGGCCCCCTGGATGCTCATCTGACCTTAATTAAATACCTAAAAACCCCTGAGCTTCTGGGGGCTCTGCCCCCTGGACCCCACCAAGGGCCCTGAGGCGGCCCCCTGGATGCTCATCTGACCTTAATTAAATACCTAAAACCCCTGAGCTTCCGGAGGCTCTGCCCCCTGGACCCCACCAAGGGACCTAAGGCGGGCCCCTGGATGCTCATCTGACCGTAATTAAATACCTAAAACCCCTGAGCTTCCGGGGGCTCAGCCCCTTGACCCCCTGCCGAGGCTCATGCCCTGGACCCCACGCCAATTTACGCTCTACCTGATCGATAATACTCCACTTTAAAAAACGTTCCGCGGGACCTGCATGTAACGTGTAAGACTGGTGGTGATGCAGATTTTTCGTCTGCCCCCCCCCCCCTTCCGAACTTTTTTTCTCATTACGTCACTGCCCCTGGAATGTGAGCCCCCTGGAATGTTTGCCCCCCCCCCAATCCCAAACTGCTTCCGGCGCGCCTGCATGTACGGTATTTTATTTGTAGGTTTATTCACACTTTTTTGTTTTGTTTGATAAGTAATTGTTTATCAGTCTATTTTTGTTTGTTATAGCGCTTAGAGATTTTGGTGGTAAGCGCTTTAAAAGTAGCGTTTTTTTAATTTTCCTTTTTTAAATTTTGTTACGAGCCAGAGATTTTGGGAACATGCATGCGGTACCTCCATTCCCGGAGTGGTGGGGGGGGGGGGGGTGTGGTACTACTTCTTCATAGGATGTCAACTTATATGCATTGCATTAAACCTGTTGATATTGATCTCATGGTTATATTTATTTTATAAATAAAATCAAACAACACAGCGAGGGTTGAAGATGACTACTAAGCAATCATTACTGTATGTAGGACGCTGAGTTGAAGTTATTCATGATTTATTCAAGAGAGGAAGGTCAGACAGACCTGATGTTTAAAATATTTAACAAGAGAAAAATCATAGAAACAGAGAGAGGCATTGAGAGAGATGTCAACGCTTAATGAAAGAGAAAGAGTGATAATAAGGAGAGAGAGAGAGAGGGGGAGAGAAACAGAGAGAGATGGAGAGGGGTGGGAAAGATAGACAGGGAGAGCAAGAATTAGGTGTGAAGAGGAAGATCAAGAGAATGAGAGATTAAATTTTACAAATGTACATGTTTTCATGTACCTTTTCTTAATTTATATTATAATGTGAACGATATAGTGATGGTCTTTGCTTAATTTTAGTTTGCATTCTTTGCTCTAGCCTTGTATTCTAATTTATTATTTTAATTTAGTAAATGTTTGTATCAATATAATTTTGATTTCTATCTCTTCCCCTATTTCATAGCCTTGTTCTTGCTCTCCCTCATGTTAGTCTATCTCTCTTTCTCTCTCTCTGTAATGATAACCCCTCTATCAATCTTTTCTTCATCAACTCTTGATATATTCCTCCTCTTCTCCTTCTCGTTCATCATCACGATCATCATCATCATCTCAAAACTGTATAATCAATCTACATGTATAAGACTCCTGAGATTGATCAATACAGTTCTTATAATATAAGACCATTATGTACAAACAATAAACCATATGGTCACAATCATTAAATAAACAGTGGTGAGAACAATTATTTCAACTTGATGGGCAACAACGTAATCTCCATTTTCTCCTCCTCGTTCAAATATTGGCTTCTTTTTCATTCTTTACTCGTGTTACTTCTCTATCTCTCTGACTACAGTGTATACTCACAAGAAAGTAGAATCAACGGTTTGACATGAACCAGTCTAGAAAATGAACTAAATTTATTCAAATATCAAATACATTTTGAATTTCAGACAGCTTTCTCCCAGGAGATGAAACAAATGTCTCCCTAACCAGAAACTGGCAAAATAACTAAATGCCTTCCCCTCTTTGTAGTCTCTCATCATTCTTACCTCTAGTGATGGAGGGTCCTTATCCAGTAGCACACAAAATTAATGTCTCTATACATAGTAGACGGCCATCTCTGCATGCCTTTCTCCCCCCCCCCCCATCCATCCATCGTCCAGTTCCTCTCTACCTCTCTACCTCGGATGGCTGAACAGTACCCCCAGCGTCAGGGCAGAGAACACCCATAAAATAATGACTCCTCAATTTCCAAGCTTGAGTCCCCTCCTTGTAGAAAGTCACGTATCACTTCTGTTGTCCATTGTGAAATGAGCTCTCTCGTAGCATCTACGTCATCTTCTGATTTATCAGCCATAGTGTTTGATGATGCTGCAACTGATAAATAAAAGGAAAAAGACAATAAAATTTAAGTTTGTAACCTCAACAATAACGGTAAAAAAAGAACCCTTATCGCACTAGATCATGGGGAAACATTTTTGTGCTAAAGGGTGACCCCAAAAAGGTGACCTTACCATCAACTGAACGAAATATCGGTCTGCCAAATGTTCATTATTTCGGGAAAAAATAGGTGCTCTAACCGACCCCCCCCCCCCCCCCCCTCTCATTCACCGGCTGGCTGAGTCGATGTGAAATTTTCGGCACGAATTTCAAATTTTAACCCCCCCCCCTCGAAAAAATCCTTCATACGCCCCCGTCATGTAGATCCTCAAGTAGAGCTCATCAATACATAGACTATTATATTCAGATCGACAAATCTATCGTTTTCATGGCCTCTTTTACTTTTTTACATTTACTAATTGCCATCACTATCTAACTGTCGGCCATTCTATAGTAGATCCTATTCCAATATCAATTATGTATAGTCTATAGGATCTAGACTTATTCATATTTCCTGAGACATAAGTCTCATTTTACTGTAAATTTGGTTAACTTCTACCTAAAACACAAGGCAATCAGTCTACTTAAAATGCACACACATTTAAACATACGGGACTAGATCTAGGACTACATTTACTAAAGTTGGACCCCGGCCCACTCTCATTACGTCGTATTATCAGCTTTATTCGTCATAAAAATGAATAAACACAGACTTTGGTTTTTTACCGGAGTGAAAGAAAATCACTGCAGAATAGCGGATTATGTACAAGATTAAGATGTTGCTTCGATAAGAAGCAACACGGCGATCACGGCGAAGGTAAAAATGTACTAGAATTATGTCCCGGCATGCTTTGCGATGAAACAACCGTGAAGGCACGTATTATCTGGCGGACGCCAGATAATTAAGTGGCGGCCGCCAGATAATTAACTGGCGGCCGCCAGATAATTCCTCTTAAATTTTATTTCGTATGGTGGCACTAATGGACTTCCGTAATTTCATTTGATCCTTTCGCACCATTGCAGCCCCCCCACTCAGGGTTCGAAATGACCGCATGCGTGTTGCCAAAATGTCCGGTAAAGGGGTACTTTTCGTGCGACAAAGTCCGGCCCGAGAATTGTAAAAAAAGGGGTGTATTTGACTTTTCACCCGGAGATTTTTTTAAAAAAGGGGTGTTTTTTTCTTTTTTTTCTCTCATCTCTTTGCACTCCTAAGAAACTATTCCGAATTAAGGGGGGTACATTGACCATTTTTCATGATTTAGGGGGGTCTCCAAGGCAGGAAAAGCCCGCGAAAAGCCCGCGAAAGGAGGGTTCGGAAATGTTGGCAGTCCTCAGATAGGGGGTGCTTTCAAAAAGAGGGAACGAGCATATGCGTACCCTAAATAACACTGAGTGGGGGGGCCGGGCTCTGACGTCACTTAGCTTACCATATACCTTGTACATGACGTCAGAGTGCAATGGTGCGAAAGGATCAAACGAAATTGCACTCCGCGTCAATGATGCCGTTCAATGGTACTTTTAGCGCATGTCATGTGATCAAGAATTGACCAATGAGGTTGCAAGAATCTTAGAAGGCGTTGAATAATATGTGTTATATACCTCACTTAAGAAATCCAGCCATCTGATTGGTCGAAATTGCATTCATAAACTTCAACTATTTCTGTAAAATTCCCAGTAACCATGGTTAAAACAGTTCTATAATCCCAGTAACCATGGTTATTGGGAAAATAGTTCAGTCTCCATGGTTACCCCATAGGTTTACATGTTGAAAAATGGTCTGAGCGATCGAGGATACCGTACGTGTGCGAAGAATTGGTCGGTAATTTCAATACAATTGAATCTCGATCGATCTTACCGACAATTTTATCTTGCATTGTTGACATGAAGACGAAAATAAACTTCCAAAAACAAAAAACAACATCTGCCGATAGATCTTGATCTAAATTCGTGTCAATATGCATTGCAAAAATAAAAGAAGGGCCTGTTTAATGGAGCAGCCGCGAAGCATCCACCACGCGAAGCCGTTTTCAATCTATTTTAATGTATATATAAGAAAAAAACTGCCATGTATGGTAACAGAGCGCGATAGCCGAGCGGTTTAAGGCGGTGATTTTAGTTACATCACCTTTTGTACGCAAGAGGTCGAATCCCATCTTCGACAAAAGTTTTTTTTTTCGGCATATAAAAGTATTAAGGACTGCTTTAATATTCGAGAAATAGTTGTTTTTATACGCTCTCGGGAAGGTTACAATTGGGCTATTGCCCTCGGCACGTCTCGGGTAATAGCACAATTCTAACCTTCCCTTGAGCGTATAAAAACAACTATTTCTCTCAAAGCAGTCATTAATACTATATTATTACACTTCAATTATCAGAACTCAGATTGCATATCTGCTAATACAATGTAAAAACAAAAACTAAAAACTAAAACTAAACAAATAAAATTTTCACCCCTAAAACATAACAACAACAGTATTTTTGTCGAAAAAATCTTACTCTTTGTTTGTTGTTGCTCCAACATGTCTTTGTTTTCCATTCCTCTTTATTCAAAACACAGGTATTCTTGACGGAAGTCTCCTGAAACCAACAACTTTGATAATGAAAAAGGATGATGCACTTATATGATTTCTTGTTATTACACTTCAATTGCCAGAACTAAGATTGCATATCTGTCAATACAATGCAAAAAACTAAACAAAAAAAAATAAAAACAAAGCAAATAAAAACACCCACCCCTCAAAAAAAAAATCGGTACAATTTTATAGAACCATTCTAATGTACAACCGTCTGTTTGCTCATTAATTTCCCCTTTATGCAATACACACAGGTATTCTTCATGGAGGTCAGGTCAACCAAAGTTCAACTGGCGTGAAGATTGTGCCACTCTACAGCCTTCTGATTCAAACATGGGATGGGATGTTGATTCATGCAATGAAAAACGACCCTTCATATGTGAACGCTATCAGGGTAAGTCACAAGATCAATTATATGATCTTTTCTGTTTCTTTAACGAAAAATGGTTTGCTTTATTTTAAATTGCTTAGGGTTCTATTCGGTAAAAATGTGGTACTTACCACTGTTGTCGACTTGGAGCAGACTCGAGCATTTCAATTCTCCCCCTTGTGCATTTTTTGTAGGCCCTCCTGGATAAGTCATCTAAGTATGCGTCTATCTAGTGGCTGGGGCTTTGCATCGTCTCAAAGGTCGTCAAGATCTCGATGAAACTAGATAAGCTAGCGAGCAAAGTAGGAGAGATTTTTTTCTCTCAAAGTTTTAACCCCTTGAAAGCGCTTTAATTCTATCTATTATATACTATAATAAGTCATGTAAAATTACTAGATCATGACTAAAAATAATTGTGCAAGGATGATAGGCGAGTTGGCTTGACAAAGCTTTTTTTCCTTATTTCAAAAAGTCTTATGCATCCTATCCTACATGCACATGCTACAAGAAGAGGTATATGTATAAGAATCCCTGCTGTATCAACGTCCTTTGTCAAGACATTAATCTACTTTTGCCACGCTCGACCCACGTGTAGTAAGTGGGTACTTTAGGATTTATCTATTGAATGCACTGAGAGCTAAGAGCTACAGGTAAAAGCGGGATTAATTAAACCCAAATTATTTGGATTCAGAGAAATGTTTTAATAATGTGATATTCATCGCTTTTATAGCAATATAGATGAAAGTCCCATGCCGGAGAGTGAGTCCATGATCTTCTCATCTCTAGTCACGTGTTTTATTAGTATGACTATGATGAATTCAATGATACTTAATGGCTTGACATTCTCTCTTCATCCTGTCTCAAAACACGAACAATATCTAACAATGGCAATCATCTTCTTATAATCAATATGTAGATGTTCCTGAAAATGAGTAAACAATATCTAACAATGGCAATCATCTTCTTATAATCAATATGTAGATGTTCCTGAAAATGAGTGGAGTCGCCTTGATGGAACCCTGTACTATATCTCACAATCCTCAATGACGTCATACTCGTTTGCTAGAAGGTTCTGCCAGGCTCAAGGAGGTGATCTTGCCCAGCCTAAAACAGAAGAAATCAATGTAAGGCTTCATAATAGGTCAAATTACAAGTATGGAACATATAAATAAAACGTAATACAACATTTAACGAGCTTTAAGTTAGCAACTGTGTGTGCAAAAAATAGAAAATAGAACATCTGTTAGGTTATAACAAGAAACTTTTCAATTCTGGAATATTTCCTCGTGTTTGGACTGTAAAAAATACAGAAATTGCTATTTAATCCTTTTTTATTTAGTATTTTATCAACCCTAAAGTCACAAATCTCTGTTATTAATTGTTAGAAACAAAGGTAATTGTTCCTTTTTATTTCGTTTCTTTTGCAAGAACAAAATGATATGTGAAAATAATCGGAAAATGGTGTAAAAGCTTTTAAAGAAGCATGATATCGTCGTGATGAGTCAATTATAAAGAAACAAAATTATATCCTTCTAGTTCAAGTTTCAATGATGCACTAGACTATAGACATATCAATAAAATTATCCCACTATCATAAACATGGCACATTAAAAATAATCATCGGTAATTTTTCTCTCTCTGATTTATTCTCTCAACGCATTGACAAGCTGCATCTCATGACGCTGGCTGAAGGTAACTCGTATTGGTTTGGACTCGATGATATCAATCAAACGGGCACGTTCCAATGGATTGATGGCACTCCACTCGATAACAATGGGTATGTGTTAACTGTATTGTTCATACACATACACAGCAATATCTTACATACCCTACTCATGACAAACTGTAAACATATCATGTTGCAGACAGAATGCAATGGGTAGAAACTAGTATGTAACTTTAATAACAGGATTAGCTGAGGAGCAAATTAATATCCATCAAGCTTAAGATTGGTTTTCTTATGGATTGATGGCACCGCCCCTCAAAAAAAGTGGAAACATTTTTGTTTTACTTTTGAAGTATTTTCATGTGGATTTCATGGAGCTTAAAATACAAGCCCTGATCATGATTTGAAATAAAGGCAAATGTACATTTACTTTTTAATTAATAGACATTTTAATTGCAGCTCGAATCAAACCGCTGACATTTCCCTTTCAAACAAGGGGATGAATATGCGGTTTAAAGAAGAATGTTTATTTTATTAAAAATATTTCTTTTATTTATACTGTGATAATACGTTGCTGTTTGGAACATATTTTACCTTTCCAGATTTCCTGCTTGGTCGAATGGTGATGCGTTTCTATTTGAGAGCGAAAGATGTGTTCATCAGAAGGTTAATAATGGATGGAGAAAACTACCATGTACATCGTATCTCAGGTTCGCATGTGAAAAACCTCCGAGTGAGTATTGGCATTATATTTCTACTATCTATATTCAGGGGTACTCCTTTATGATAGTCCATGCTCAAATGATGCTCGTTCCACCTTATAACATTACATTTTAAATGCCGCAAACAAAACAATTTATCGATTGATGAAATTCTAATATTTTGTAATCACTGTTTCAGAGCCATTGTTGGTTTCCACTTTAAACAGAATATCCCATTGTAATCCATGCTTGTACCGTTGTTTCAAAACAAAAAGTGAGATATTTTATCATTTGTAATATATAATTTGCCTATTAAACATTTTTAGTTATGTAGGCTATATCTGCAGTTGATAACCCGGGGGAAACGTGAATTCATAAAGTATCATGTATCATTTAGATTGAGTTTCCCATACATTTGTATACCATTAGTTCTAGAAGTAGAAGTAACTTTGTTAGAAAATATATGTCTGAAAGTTGCTTGGTACTCAACAACAAGTATCAAATGTTATCATGAGATACGAAATGTAAGGTTGAAGACTCGGATAAGTCATTGCCTTCTCACCGTTATGTTTATTTCCCCTTACCTAATGACTTGAAAAATATAATGATTTTCTCATAGGTCCGCGACCTATTCTTCCGGTACGTCTAGTGGCAGCTACGTCATCCCCCTTCGGAGGAGATCTGCCGAATGCTTCATTTCTCTGTCTACTCGGATCAGAGAATGAAAAGATTCTCACATTGTCCACCAGAAGACTCGTCCGTCTGACCGAGAATATAACTCCCGATAGTTACACAGCTCCAGGGAACAGCACTAATGTATCATCTGTAGTGTTAAGGCAGACTCTCCCAACTACTAAGAATGGCTCGGGATTTTTCGAATGTTCATCGGTGACAGCCAGTAGAATGACATCTGTTCCTCTTGGCATTCTTCTCTCTTCCCGTACGTATATAGGATAACACTTGTTTTTTACGATTATATACAACAACGAAAATTCCACTAAATGTAAATATTGTTAAACAGGAAATGTTCTGAATACGTTGAGATTAAAAACACTACTAAACTTACCATTTATTTTCTAATATTACTCCACTATACAAAAATGATTTATATCCGTGCTTCCATATGACTACGTCATTGTAACTTTGCTATTGTGTATTATCTATTCGTGTATATTATTTCTATTGTATATTGTTCATGTGCTTTATGTAATGCCAACAACTGAATTTCCACATGGACCAATAAAGTTAATCTGAATCTGAACGAATGATAATATTTTAAATATATAATTCCTACTTTTACTTTTTAAGAATTTGAGTCAATGGCAATGTAAAAATGACGGAGGATGAATGGAGTGACATGGAGAGAAAGAGAAAGAATATGAAACGAGCGATGACGAAATTGTAATGAATCAGAAAAAAATCAGATTGAAATGTGAGGTGTTTTTGTTTTATAGGCGAGTTGCAACCGATTGATGGTCGGTTTACAAAGACAATATATATTGGAGATACTATCACACTCAGTGTGATGAGCACGACAGGAATGGTAGGCGAAGACGGGATAAGATGGCGGAAATTCACTGATGTAGACTGGGCTAACATTGGAATGAGTTCTGGCAGTCTATCACACACAATTCAATCTGTATCTGTCTCAGACGCCGGTGTGTATGTGACGTATAAGCATGGAACGTTGGAACACCATCAATTCAGCCTCATAAGACTCATCGTAAAAGGTTCGATTTTCTTTTCTTTACATATCGAAAATATATCACTTCATATCGGTCGCAAGGATTTAAATTCACAAGGAACTTCAAAATAAATTTGGTTTTACCCTCAGCTCTGATAAACTTCATCATATCAGTAGATAGTCATTTAAAAGTAAAAGAACGGAAATCAACCAAAAACGAATCGAATCGATCGGAAGTACTTTGGTTAATAAAAATATCAATGAATATAAAGTGGTAAGTTCCAAAATTGAACGAAAGTTTCTGCATTATTAATCCTAATCGAGGAATTTTACATAACTATGGGAGTTTCATGTCCTAATGATGTGGTTCTTACCTTTTACAATGAAATACGCATTTCCATCTATTATGTGTTTTGGTTCTACTTATTTGCGATCAAGTTATGATTTCCAAAAATCATACTGGATCTACTTCTTTGCAATTAAGGTAATATTTTCAACCACCATGCAGGTTCCGAACTCGTCTTTTCGTGGCACTTCATTTGATTAAGCTACCCGTTTTCGAAAATCAGTGGCCTAGATCTATTCCAAGGAGTGTGTGGGTGGGGGTGGGGGAGGGGGTGGGGTGTACCACCCATTTACAGGAATTAAGGCCCGTGTGGGATATTCATTATACATATAGTTGTTCATATTTTATCGTATTAACAGAATGCCCTTATGGAAGATGGAATCCACCATTATGCGATCGTTTGTGCGATAGTTGTTATAATGGAGGTGTATGCCACGAACTCTCAGGAACATGCATTTGTCCTCCTGGCCATGCTGGAAAGAACTGCCTCCAAGGTAAAATCAAGAAGTCCCTGAAGAAATTATTCCACTAGTCAAGAATCTTTTTTTTCCTTCTATGTCCAACACATTCGTTGCCTAATGAATCTTCACAATTATATACCCATCATCCAATGGTAATTCGAAATAAACAACAACAATACAAATGAAAATGACAGGGAGAATAAGAAGAAGACAAAGGAAAGGAAAATAAAAGAAAAAGAAACGGAAAAGATGAAATAGAAAGAGACTAATGATGAAGATGACGATGACGATGATAATAACAGAAACAATAATATTGATAATAACAATAACAGTACTAATGATGATAAACATAAACTAATACTTGTAATAATAATGAAACAATGATTATTTTATTACGTACATATATAACCTTCGTAAGAAAATGAACTGTTTTAATTTGTTTTGTTTCCATAAGTAACTATTAGTTTAATTCAATGTTTATTTGCCAATGATTATAAGGACTCAAAACAGATTCTTTTCCAATCAAAACAAGAATAAATAACAATTTAATTGCTTGGGATTTTGGACAGTTTTGAATGATTGTTATAGGTTTAGATATTACACGCTATTCTTTTCTCATTTTACATAAAATTTCATTTGTATTATATTTGTTTAATATCATATTATAACATATATTTGATTTCAATGTTTATTAGTATTTAAATTGTTGAATCACTTGCGTTCAATGTCTACCGACAGGATTTTAAAAGTCGACACTAAAACAGAAAAAACAGCGAGAAATTGGATGAAGGACCTTTTTAGAACATGTGATTAATCTAAAAATATATTTATATTTCATGCAGCGTGTGGGATGCACAGGTTTGGCTGGGACTGTGAGTTTGAATGTGGACCCGGTCAGCCTCTGGACAAGTGTGCTGGAAGTCAGATCTGTCTACCTGATCCTTATGGATGTACCTGTTTAGCTGGATATACAGGAATCTACTGCAATGAAAGTAAGTGCTTAATCTTACTAGTCATATCATGACTAACATTTGGGAGAAATCAGAAACCTTCGGAAAAAAATTTATATTTTAACTTTGTGTTCTATACATTTTGTACGGTTCAAATTAGACCCTTACCCAGAATTTGCCTAAGATCGATTATACTTGGGAGATATTTTTGGTAATACCTCAACATATTAATATAATCATAAATAGAGGGTACATATATGCAAACGGATTCTCAGGATTTCAGAACGGGTACATGTTCTGGGGAGCAAATGTAATAAACAATATTGTAACGAGCCTACATATACCTCATCTATTTGTCTTAAAGCATGTGTAGATGGTATGTTTGGAGCTGATTGTCTTCAAGAATGTCACTGTACTGATGGAGTTGAGTGTGATGACGTCACTGGAGGATGTTCTGGAGATTGCTCGCAAGAATGGTCTGGACCAGCATGTCAAGGTACAATCATTTACTTTACTAGAAAATGACATACGACGGTTCATAACAATGCTGATTTAAATTTCCTTGTAACAAAAGAAAGACCCGAATAAAGATTAAGACTTGCATATTGACTATTTCTACCAACGCAATATTTTAAGAATATTCCTATGCAGCGATTTTAATCCAACTCTAGAAAACAAGAACTTCTTTGTGTTTTATCCAACACTTTGTGCACGGTAGAACGATACAAGATTTACGGAATAAAAATACATATTGCCTTCATTCTGTTTCTGTTTTTAACGTAATAGACATAGTGAATACGTACGCATATTACAGGAAGGTCTTCTCTTAACGTTTATGCCCGTGAATTTTTTTTCAACGTTATTATTATTATAATTATTATAATTCTTTTATAAATACATTTCCTCATTTTAGTTCCTTCTGTTTGCCCACACGGATACTTCGGGTCTAACTGTACACAGAAATGCAATTGCATGAATGGCACAGCATGCCTTAAAGATTCTGGATACTGTGACGAGGTTGAAGGGCGATGCGACTTGGGATATGTTTCTGACTCTGTCGAGTTCCCGGCCAATTGTATAACATGTAAGAATATTCGTAGTGATCTTGTAGCGCAGTAATATATATATTTTATGTCGGATAGTTTTTGCGCTCTATAAATGTATTATTATTCTTATTATTATTGATTTGATTTGATTTGATTTATTGGTTTCGGCATCTTTTTTCTTTTTTTCATTATACAATATAAATGTATTATTATCATTATTACTATGAATGTATTATTGTTATAAATGTATTATTATCATTATTACTATAAATTTATTATTATTATTATTATTATTATTAATGTATTATTATTATTTTAAGTTTAAAAACAACAATTTGTTTACGAATCCTCGCATGAAAGTCCCTACCATTTTATCAATGTATAAACATTGATCAAACCCATTTCCTAGTATATTTTATGACAATTATTGAAATACATTGATATGAAATCATCAACATCTCTAGGTGACCAAAGAGCTCTTAATACCCATTGCTAAACTTGTTCACTATCATGATTGACTATTTAAAAGACCTGTAAAAGGCTTTATGATATTATACCTGAACATTTGGTATCTGTTTATTCTCATAAACTCACCAATATTATGCGATATTCCTTCCTTCATTTCAATTTAAATTCTAGTTTTATGGAAGATGGAATTTCTCCTTAGACAATTTATTTATCTTGTTTAGTTTCAGGATGTTTCAGCTCTTGTTCGAAGACATGCCATTGTTCTGGTGGTGCCGAGGATTGTAACTTTCTGACTGGTAATTGTTCTTCATCCACCTGTCATCCAAGATGGACCGGGGATAAATGCCAAACAGGTAGCTAGGATTGAATTCATGCTCCTGCCAAGTGTCCCAATAATAATATTACGGAAATTAAGCATGATTCGATTCTTCCATATTATATAAATTTCATTGATATAAAAAATACATTCAGTATCACTTCTGAGCTGCTTATATTATTCAAGTAGTGAATCAAAGAAGAACTTTTTCGATTTGAAGCTTACCAACCCTCTTTAGCCATCATAGTATGTCAGGACGATCGCAAAAGACTTGATAAATTAAAGTACATGAATCTCAATAGCCTTTTGCATAAAGTTTTGAATGTATTAATTGATGGTGTTAACAAGTTCGAAAGTGGTTTATACCTGCTATAGAGTGGGGTAGGGACATTGGACTCTCCCTCTCTGCCTGTTTGTTGAACTGCCATCCAAGTTTCAATATGCTGTTGTGCGCTTTTACCAAAATTAGATCGATTTGAGACGAGCTTGGAAAAGACCAATCCAGGAGTGGCGATCTTCTCCTGTTCCTTCACAGCGTCACCAGAACAACATCTTTCCTCTGAATATGTAAAGGCAGCTGTAGGAACGCTCTGGATAACTCTCAATATGTCTGATACTTTAGGAACAACCCTCAATAATTCTTTCATTCACTTGTATACGGGGACAGAAGAACCCATTTACTGCTTCATCGGGGTGCCTGAGAATTTCTCAGAGTTTGCTTTCGTAAGGCTTCCTCCAAGAGTTTTCTTTGGTAAGCAATCCCCATAGCAATGAACAGTTTCCATTTTGTACTCTACACGTTTTTAAATGAATTATTCGTTTTAAAAACAATAACATGTAACACATACCTTCCAAATAGAATTATAACATTACCTTATCAGTTTTTATTCTGGTTATTATCTATTATGCATGTTTGGTTATTACAGTATCGAACATTTTGCATATCAATTGCGAAAGATTATGTCCCATATTTTTACCATGCAATAAACTTGTAGGTAGTAAAATGAAATAATAGTTACAAGATTTCAAGGTTCAATTAATAGATTCGTAACCTGCTTACTTTTGCTCTTATATACTTTGGTGGCGAATGGGGAAGGGAAAAAACCAATGAGTTACAATAAATGAGTCCTATATTTTACCAAATGTCTCTATGTCAATTTCTTACACTTTGCAGTTTTACCAAGTTTTAATGGAGAACCAGAACTACTTGAAAGTGGATACTTCCACGCAGCCTTCAGTTGGAGACAATGGGACCCTAGGTCTGATACCGGGGACGGACCTATTGTTGGATACAAGATCTACGTGCGATCAGGTAGAAATGTCGTGTTGGCTAAAGAAGTACAACCTCCAAGCATGGTGAACAAAACGGACCGTTCCGTATCGAAGAGGTCTGCTGAGAATGCTACTGAGATGGTCATGTATAACGTCAGTGGACTTGAACCAGGATCTACGTACTCTGTTCAGATTGCAGCGATACGAGATGGTATCAAAGGTGAAGGAGAACAAGGACCAGTATTGACAATTACAACAAGAAGTCGTAAGTTTTATAATTAATTTGTATTACATTGCATTGTGAGCCCTTTCATCTAAATTCTGTCGAAAATCAACTCAGGGCAATTTCTATACATTAAGGCATATCCCATAGAATATATATTCGGATTATACAATGCATCATTGCACTTTTCAGACATTTCAGGCTATCGGATTTGCTATAGGATGATTTTTCAAAAGTATCTGCGATAGTATTCATAGCAATTTAATAACAAGGGATATGTTCACAATACTACAAAAACTTTTCTGCTGGACAGCTACCCTCTGCCCTATCCTTATATAGGTAAAATGCTCTCTTTGAGTAAGCGGGACAAAATCAAAGAAACATGCACACACTTTGCAAATATTATTGTACTGTCCAGCACGTCATACCACGGGGTTCCCTAACGGGTTTTTATTTTCTTTAATCTTTTCAAACATTTATTTAAAGGGTCGAAATGAAATACAATCGCCACCGTTCAATGAGATTTCTTCCAACTTAATCGCGCATGCTTTTTAACCGTAATCAATTTTATGTTGAAAACAATGTTATGCGTGTAATCAAACTGTTAAGCGGGAAGTCCACCCTGATATTAATTTAGTTTAAATTGAAGCAGAACAATGAGAGGGAAAGGTCAGTGAAAGTTTGAGCAAATTCCGATTAAAAATGGGAACATCATTTACATTTGCAGTTTCGATCAATAAAACTCAAATTTTCTTTGCTATTGATGACAGAATATATATTTTTCCCATATACAGGGGCTGAATAGAAACATATTTGCAAACTGAGTTTGAAAAATTTCTTGAAGGAAAATAATAAGGTCTGATTTCATTACTCTCTTTCGTTTTATCACAAATTGAGTTCCTGTTCCATCGACTACACCGAGTCCATCAACCGTTTCGACTGCAGTAATGACTGGACTAGGTGTTGGTGGTGTAAGTGGCGGTTCTATAGCACCGGCAGCTGGGGGAGCCGTGGGCGCCATTTTGATCATTTTGATTATCATCATTGTAGTCATCATCGTGTTCAAACGACGAAGGTTTGTGAACTATTTTCTATTTTCAGTCATCATTCGAATTTACCATGTATTATGCTGTAATTCATGTATATCGTAATTATATCGTAATCCAGTATGGGTACTACCATACTTTCAATGTGAGTGGAAACTTATTGATGTACGGACTTTAAGAACAAGAAGAATAGGAAAATCAATGTCTATCAATATTCTGATAATTCTCTATTTGTCTCTTCAATGAATACTTTATCGATAAAGTCTGATATTTACCAGCTCTCGTAAATTTCTCTTCTTGTCACATATTGTTCGCTTTCGATAGTTTGCATTAAAACTTCTTTTTTTTTCTTTTTAAAGAAATGATAATCCATCTAAAATAGAAAACATCGAGGAACGATTTCAGGCATCAGCTGATTTCCAAGACACTTCATTAGAAGGTAGGCATTTGTTTTGTATTGTAAGTATTATGATCAAGTTAAATAATTGTAATCATCAAAATAGCATGGAGCGACAAGGTAATTGACAAAAAAGTGACTTCATATTTCGTTTTTTTAACTCCATATAATTCTGACAATTCAATTATTCCCTCCACCGTTTCATGATGTAACAAACCAGGCAACTTTTTGAGAGAAATACAAATGAATCAAGTGTAAGGAACCAAGTATTTCTTTGGTTATTTGTTGTACATAGGCTGATGCCACGCTAGGTCTCTTCCTCATACAAAAGAAGTACATGCTAACTTTTTTCTGTTTGTATTATGTCAGAAAATGATTACTGTGGTGGGCATGCAAGGAGCACAAGACCTAAACCAGCTGTAGCAGTCAAGAAGCCTCTTTTACAGGAAACTAAATGCTTAGACCTTGATTCCACCGAGGGATCTCCTGGCAGATCTAGCAACAAACCTCTTGGCAAACGTCAACCGATACCCGTGGCTCAGTTTCCTGCATTTATCGAAAACAACAGACACAGTGCGCTCTTCTCCGGGGAATTTCATGTAGGTTAAATGAATACACTTTCTATTAACAAGAAATATGTCTTCTTTTTTTAATGTTTTACGCTTGACAAATGTTTTGGCAAGGGAATGTGTGCTAATTTATGTATTCCTGTGCTGTTGAGAACACGAGGTAGCAAGCTCTCTTTGCAGTGCGTTCGATCAGGGGATCAGCCGCTGTTCTATCAATGTCATACCATTCGAGATTCATTGTCCTAACAAGATCTTTCCTGATATGAATCAAATGACGTGATAGAATAAAGACTCAATAAAATAGTTTGGTAAAAAAGCATAACTATTCGATTTTAGAAAGTCTATCGTCGTGGGAATTATTGTTTTATATTTTCACCTTAGGGTCCACCAAATTTCTCTCTACTGAAACGCAGACCCTTCATTTCATACTGCATACAATCGAAATAATGTATTGTCAGCCACCTTTTGCTCTAGTCTCGAATATAGACCTCATGTTTATTTGTAGTATTTCTTTCTGAAAATTATATTTCTTTTCTCTTCTAGGACTTACCTGGCCCAGACATCTATCCTCAGACCGTGGCTCAAAAGGAGATCAACCTCAAGAAAAACAGATACAAGAATATCTTACCATGTGAGTATATAAAATAACATGTCCTTTGTTATGTTGTTAGGACTTGTTAGGTATAGCTATACAAGTTGGTGCAATGAACTTAAAGCTCCAGATAATGTATTTATCGTTGTGTTGATAAAAGTAGTTTGCAACTGTAGCGCTGATTGCTGCAATGGAGAATCATAATTCGTATGATTTACAGTGTACCAATGTATTTACTGATGTATGCTATCAGTTCAATATCATAATTTTATTTTTATAATATGAGTTTTAAATATTTATTCTGTAAAGAGACGTTGCGAGTTTTATTAAACTCTCAATAAAAACAAATTAAAGATTTATGTCCGTAGTCGAATCTCTTCATTTGAAACCTAAATAGTGTTTTTTGTTTTTAATGTTCGCTTTAATTTCTATGCTACTCTACCGGAAATTGATAACGAAGATAAACGACAAAAAGGACTAAACAAAAAACATCAGTTAAAAGCTACGGGCTAAATTTATTTTGTTTATATCCTATCTTTTATCCAGATGATTCGGCGAGGGTGAAGTTAGAAGTAATCGACGATATCCCTCATTCCGATTACTTTAACGCTTCTTACATTCCCGTAAGTAAGGTGGCATGTATCAATTTATTTATACTTTAATTATGAAAAGATTGTCATTACCGTTTCATTTTATTATGATGTTATAAAGTGGGTCATCCTTGAATGAAGCGTCCAATGTGATATATTGAATCAAATTATGCGATAGAATTTACCCCCCCCCCAAAAAAAAAAAAAATAAATAAATAAATAAAAAATTGTTATATTAACAGGATGTAGCATGAGTTGACGGACTACCTGAAGTAGATGACACGTTTCCTGCGCTGGATCGTTACACAATTCATGCACAAGCGCATACATATCTACACATACGCGCACGCGCGCACACACACACACACACACACTCACGATACAAACACACCCGCGCAACTACCCACTCACTTACGCACAACACACATAGCACACATGTGATGGATATCCTACCATTGGTTGAAGCTGTAATATAATTCCTTATATGACTGGGATTTTCTTGATCTTCTTTTCTGACAAAGCAGTGCTATATTAAAACAGAGATTACAATTCTCCCCAAGCTTTGATATTTGTAAAGTTGCATTTTGATCTACTTTTGATTAAATGAACTATATTTTTGTTCCCTTCACATACAGAGTTTTGACAATGACAAGGCTTACATTGCATCACAAGGTATGTCCATTCTCATTTCTCCGTCACGTTTAACTAGGATTCATTTATTAATACAAATTGTAAGACGTATATTTGTAGGTGACTCGATTTCAACTTAATATGTTTTTTGTTGTATAAACGAAATAATAAACTGAAGCAAGACATAATTCATTGTCATATAGCAATTGAAAATGTGATTTTCGATGAGCCCATAATTTATGTTTTTAAGGACCCAACATTGCGTCTATGGATGATTTCTGGAGGATGGTCTGGCAGGAAAATGTGACGACTGTTGCCATGGTAACGAAGCTCAAGGAAGGAGATAAGGTCAGTAAATAGTATTTTCATTCCAACGATATTTTAACTCGAATTATAGAATTCAGATGACTAAAGTCAGTTTGATTACTATTTCAGCTTTAATATCTTCCTTTATATCTTCTTAACACTTGCTTTTGTTTATTTTGGTACCAGAGCCATCACTGGATACTCCTGACCATGAACACCTTAAAAACAATGTGAACCTCGAATTATTCTGATACTCCGACTTATTGATTAATTATGTTTATATCCTAACGTCTACACAGATATGTTGATCGCGACCGCTAATAGACACCAGTCACATTAGGGAAAGCCCCCTTTCTATAATATAAAATTGAACATGAACTTAATATAACGCATGTAGTTACACTCCAACATTTACAGAGCGGCGTTTTTAATACTAAAACAAGTATTGCTCAATGTAAATAGTAGGCTTACAAGTAGTGTTCTAGGAAAGACGGATGATTAATTAACTATAATATGGCTTAGTCGTAGTGGAGTAGATTATGCACTTAACATGGAATGCAAAGGCCCGTTGGTTCGATCCCCTTCAAATCATTATTCTACATTTGCCAATCCGTATTCAGGGGAGACGACGGAAGCCTTTGCGTTAGTAATTGCCATATGCCCTTACGGTGACCATAATTATGGTAGGAAAACTTTCCAGGTATTGGAGATTGTGCACATTGTGCGTGAATAATTGACCGGGATAATGGTATCTGTAAAGCGCCATTAAACACGTTATTTTGTAATAAGCGCTACATAAATACAGATTATTTTTGGTATTATTATTAAACAAGACATATTATATTTTTCTGCTGAGATAAAAGCGTAGAGTTCTTTGATTTGATTTATTTATGTTTGATTGCTTGGAATAGATCAAATGCCGCCAATATTGGCCTAATCGACAAGGCGATTCGGTGAAGAATGGAAATATCAAAGTGGAACTGGTTTCCCTGGATGCATGCACAGGTGGAATTAAACGGACAATGAAGATGATAAAGGTAGGTATATAACAAATCTGCATATACATTGTTACGTCACATCTTGAGCCCTTTCTGTCTTTCAGCCGGGAAGACGTTCCAAAACTAAGTTTAGTGCATGAAAACACTGGAAAAGGTGACACCATTGACATTAAAACGGATAAAGATGTTTGATAATCGGTAAGAAAGTTTCTTTAAAATTCATTCATTCTCACTGTGCATGACATGTGTTGTTCTCCCTACTAGGGTGACGACTATAGGACCGTCACTCAGTTCCACTTCACAGAGTGGCCTGACAAGGGTGTTCCTAAGCACACCTCATCACTGCTCAAGTTCATCAAGGAAGTCAAAGCTGATCATGGACAGTTCACTCATCCTCTAATCATTCATTGCAGGTAGGCTTCTTGGTCAATTTCAACTTGATTAAAAAAAATACCATGGACGCGATCGTCAAGGCTCTCAAGAAATCAAGTCAATGCACTTTGTTGTATTATTTTTTTGTTATCAAGTTCGGATTACATAGTATGTCATCGTTTTGCTCGCACATTGTTATAGATGACGCCCACGGTTATTGAAATCGGCTGAGGCTTATTTTTTCGAAAGTCTTTAAGATCATGAAAATGTTAAATTGTTTAAGATATACAACAAAACTATGAGAATTAGGAATGACACTAGTAGATTCCAACCGAAATAGAGCTTCTTAATATAAGAGGGTATAATGCTAGGGCTTTACTACAGGGAAACCTTGTGTTCCACACTTACGCATATTGATATTGCTTGAACATTTTGCTCACTTTTGTTTTATCGTTCAATAGCTAGTGTGCGTAGACATAGTTATCTCCAGAGAGAATGCAACGTGATGCTTACAAATCACATTTTAAACACACATGACTTATTAATTGACCGTTATATTTTCTATCCAGTGCTGGTGTTGGACGAACAGGCGTGGTGATCAGTATCGATAGCGTCGTAGCTCACGCCAAAACAACTAGAATGGTAGATGTCTTCAACTTCGTGACGAACATCAGACAGAAGCGACCATTCATGGTCCAAACACAGGTCAGTTACCTCTTAAACATCAACTGCTGCTGCCGTTGACACACAATCTTTTCAGTTTAGACACTGATAAGACCGATGGATTTCATCCTAATTCATCCGATTTCAATCTAATGTGTGCACACTTTTGCGGAGACTGGTATTATAATTATTCTGCGTGACGTTAGTGGAATTAAAAACAATATCAGTAGGCATAATAATAATAATAATAATAATAATAATGGTGGGTTCTTGTATTGCGCTCATGTCTGTCAAACACTCCTGGCGCTCCCGATTACTACCCTGGCTTTAGCACGGCTGGACATTAGTGCCGCGGCGGGACTCGAACCGTGATCGACAGTCCCGTGACATATCCACTTGACCACGCCACCTCTACATATGCATGTAAACATCGTTTTTTCCTCTTTTTTAAAAGATGTAAATCAAAAAAGTATCATAGGAAATGGTTTTGATATCAAGATCATTGACGAGAAATGAGCATTAGATATTGTTTGTTTTACCCTTACTTCTTATTTTTCACGTATTCTCGCATGTCGTAAATCTGACTTTTTAGTAGATGAGATGTAATTGATTTTGAAGTATTCGTTCCTTAAATGCATACAGGAGCAGTATGCCTTCATCTACGGGGCTGTCCTTGAGGATCTTCTCTGGAGGAATACCCTGATCCCTGTCGTTCATTTCACTGATCATCTACAAGACTTACACACTTCAGGCGATGGACATGGACGGTCCAAGATGACCAAGGAGTTCCAGGTAACACATCCCAATCTTCATCAGAAGTTGATCATTAATGAATGTCTGGTGACAGTTACGTCCTTTATTTCTTTCCCCAGGTCGTCTGCCAAGGGCAGATCCACACACCACACACACACGCCCTATGTAGGTCTTTCTCCACCTCTTTTAACATTTATATCCTACATTAATAGACTACATTATTTTATAGACGGGAGGTTCAGGAAACCTGGACGAGAGAAAAAGAGAGAGAGAGAGAGAGAGAGGGAGAGAGAGAGAGAGAGGGAGGGAGAGGGGGAGGGCATGGTGAGCATTATATCTTAGTTTCAACGAAACTACTTTTAAAAAATGGCCTGTGTCCAGAGGAAACATTTTATGGACTAAAAGAAAAGATCCCATTCACAAACCAGCTCTTGGGCTTTTATAGAAAAAAATGTTAGCGATGTCGTGATTCGTGAATTTCTGCACTGTGAATCAAGTGAGCACTACCTAAACTTAGGTTGAGTGAATGAATACCTACTAGGAAGTAACTGTAATGTATTGAGTGCTTTCAGAACATCGAGGCAGCTAGGATAAAGCCAAGATAATAATACGGTTTTATTGACATCTTGAAAATCCCTCGGGTGGATAAAATGCGCAGTAAGAAGCTGAATCTATATTTCTGCATGCGTGAAAAATATACCAGAACTTAAGTTGATTATTATCAAAGTAATTCTTTATGTAAATGAAACGTCATACTCTCTGATTTTAATCAGACTTTGAAGAGCCTCTGTCCTGATCCTCCCGCTTCTCAAACAAGATCAGGACGCACTCCAGATAATCAACCAAAGAATAGATACGGAAACAACCTACCATGTAAGTAATACTAGCATGCAAACAAATCATTTTCTATAAACGTTATAAAAGCAAATACTTAACAGTTTAAAATATTTTGTGGAATACCCAAGTTCAACGCCGGACTGTTATCACCGTCATTATGAAACTGAGTCTCTCTTTGATGTGTATTTATTTTGCAGGGATGTCACTAGAATTGGGTGAACACAACGGACCACCCCTGTCATTTCCCCTCAGTCTAAGACTGTTTCTCCCCTCATTAAAAATCTTCTGCCCGCCCCTACCCCACTTAAATGTCGATCCCATTCGGCTCCTGTACCACACTTGAGAACGGTGCCCCTTTCCATCGCTACCACACACGCACACACTCCCCACCCACCAATGTTGAAACCACATTTGTGTTGGTGCACGAATGTTAATCGTAGATTCTTGACTAAAGATATATATATATGTATGGAACGCCATGGTGAAATTATGACGCTGTCAGGAGCTCATGAAACAACACCATAGTGGAAATTCAGGATTGTCTAGAGACGGTGCAAGGTGGACGGTGCGGTCGTTGGGGGGGGGGGGGGGGTACTTAAAGCTTTGAAAATGTTAAATGTAACTCGAAGGCGGAGAGGTGATATCACATTTAATTTTCTCTTAATTAAGGTGGTGATGGAGAGGGGGAGGGCGGGTGACCCCATTATTACCTGGATCCGCTGTTTGCATGTATAGAAAGATACTCAAAAACAAAACTGAAATACACACATAACTAAAAACCAATATCTCTATCAAAGAATATATTTTTAGTTGTAGCTAAACGCTGTTTTAAAATTCCTCTTGTTTCCATACCATTCTAGTGGAGAGGAATCGTGTGATACTAGACTCCTCAGATCATGATTACATCAATGCTAGTTACATGAAGGTGAGAAGTTCTTTCTCAGTCAAGTGATTCAATTTTCATGTAATGTAAATTCAATTTACACGTTATTTAGTGTCAGAAAATTCTGTAGGATTAAATGACATAAATACCGTTTACGTAAATCTTCATTTGTCTCGTACTCAACAGTAAAAGTAAACGTCTTGAGCGTATGCAATTGCCAAATTTATATATTGTACTTTTATCAGTATTATTGATATCGTTGATGATTAATACAAACAATATTCGTAGTTGCTGCCTCATGGCATTTTAGTGACCTTTTTTAATACAAAAACTTGGAAAATGAATTTGACAGCTGTATATTGTGCGCTTATAATGATGGATGTCAAAACTATCATAATAAATTTTTTCCAGTTTCTTTCAATAGTTACATCACTGTCGTTGATTGAGTTGTATATTTACGTATATCCTTTAATGTACATGTACTGTCGCCATTATAAGATGGAATGTACTATAGAATATATAAGAATTGCTATGTGTATTATAAACTAGGTTGCATCAAAACTTGATTGTTAGTCATGTAGAGAATGTAGGGTGGGGCTGTAGTGCATTTAGTGGGCCGTGCTTCGAAGATACTGACACTGGCTGCTCTGAGAGTATTTCATGACAATGGGAGTAGGTGGTGAGGTTCTCATGTTGTTATCGGATATTATAATTATTCTCCCTTCATCTTTCAGGGAGTCCACTGTACATTCATGACAACCCAGATGCCGCTGCCAACCACTGTGTCTGATTTCTGGTCTATGGTCTTCGACTTCAAACCATCCACTATCGTTATGCTTAATGATAAGGGCCAAAGCGACAAGGTAGAAGTACGAGTAAATGCCAATTTTAAAGTTTGGACGGTTAATAGTTTGTCGCAGTTTGAGTTTCGGAGATTTAAAGACCTTGTTGTTTTTATTCCTTCTTTTGTTATGATAAATGTAATCCATAATCAATTTAACATGTTTAAAGATCGATTTCCCAACGGTAGTGCAAGGGGGAGGGGGTACTTGTCAATTATGATAAAGTAGTAGTAGTAGTAGCAGTAGTAGTCGTAGTAGAACTATTGTTAATATAAATAGTAGTAGAAGAAGTAGTAATAGAAGTATTAAAAGTAGTAGTAGTAGTAGTAGTAGTAGTAGAAGTAGTAGTAGTAATAACTTAGTTGTAGAATATTAAGAAGAAGGTCGCACAAGGCTAATCTGTCACAATGTCAATAAGGCTCATTTAAGAACTAACATGGCTAAAAATATTAGAAATAGTGATTCAAGAAAATAAAAACGGTGAGAGTGAGAGATATAAATATATTAAGTCAGGAATGGAGCGGACAAAGAAGGAAGGACCAACATTACTACCATTTTATCAATAGCCTTACCTCTCCTCCTTCTAGAGCTGTGCACAATACTGGCCTAACGATGACTCGGCTAAGTTCGGATCATATTCAGTTTCAATCTTATCAACATCATCTGATGGAGACGTGACCACTCGGCAACTGAAAGTTACCAGAAACTCTAAAGTATGTCTTATTTCATATGTTTCTTTTACGATAATAGTACTTGTTGAAGAAGGGGCGGGGAACATTGATGTGATGCCCTCATTTGAAATTTTTTTTTTTTAAAGGAACGAGTAACCTAATATTTTCTGAAAACTACATTATGAATTCAACCGGAACGGTTTTACAAAGTCGATGAAATGCGACTTAATGAATGTAAATTATCTAGAGATATGATCATTGATAATTTCGCACTTATGCTTAAAGGGATCGTTTAACAATGTTAAATCTGAGATACACGGGCCTACGTGTTATCAGTGTCTGTGATATGGTGTAATATTGAAGCCCTAAAAAAATTGCGCTTCAAAATGATCAAGAAGTGCCTCAAAAAAGTAAAAATCTTGGAGTGACCGGTTTTACCATACTCGTTTTCCCCAATAGACTGTAGTGTTATGAAAACCGTCAGGCGAACGGTTTTCAAAATTTGTAATTCCAATCATAAATATCTTGATAATCAGACAGGCGATCGGCTTGTAAAAGTCATGGGGTTCCTGACTGACCTAAAGGTTTATAATTATCATTGCATCATGAGCTAAATCCAGAATTTTGTTTCAGAATCTGAGACAAAGTTACCGGATCCCTTTAAAGTTAAATCTGAGTTAGTCATGGGAGAACGTTTGACATTGTGAAAGAAACTGTGTGGAACTGAGCAACTGTGAACAGAAGTTGAATTTGTAGAACATAATACTGTGAGGTCTTGGAATGATCAAAATCAAATTAATTTGACTCAGTGTTGCTGAATATTACCTGCACTGCATTCATGTATTGTTATTAGGACTACACATATATACACACACAAATAACACAAATATACTACACAAATATGAGGGCATTTGAAAAGTAATCATTTTCAGATGACATTTCTGCTATCTACAATCTTTCAGATTGACATAAAAAGGATGGGAATCCTCAACAATTGTTATTCTTTATCTTTTTTCAGAACTCAACCTTCTCTTTGCATTACTATTTTGTTTTTGAAACATAGACAAATACAAATTTGTGAGCGTAAAGCCAAAGTAACTTTATTATCCTTTTCTAGTAGAACATACTAATAGGATGCAATGCATCGACCAATTCTTATACGCATTATACATTCATTGTCATGGATTATTTGGTTACGTTTCCTTTCAGGCCAGTCACACCGTCACTCAGTACCAGTTCCATGGATGGCCTAAACATGGATCAGATCAACAACCAGGGGCTAGGTCGTTGATGAAGCTCATCCGTGCTGTCAAAAGTTCCACTAACAAAAAGAAGGAATTCTCCATTCTTGTCCATTGTTTGTAAGTCTAGGATCTTTTCAATGCCTACTAATCATTCACATTCGCAATTGATGTAAAGTCCGTGGTAACAGGATCGGACCCAAAATAATTTAGCTGGGGTTTATTTTTTGCTACCAAGACAATAATTAAAACATCTTAAAAACTCAACTACAACGTTTAGCCAATAACATGTTGATTAAATCAGTGTATGCATATCTCTTAAAGAAAGCTTTCCATCGGCAAAAGTTGATATATACATAATGGATTTCATCAGTTTCTATAGAGATGCCATCATGTAAAGTATAAATACTTCATAACCAGTGGTTCTGGGGATAAACATGAAACAATTGAAATACATTAGAAAATCAGGTGAATTCGGTGACGAGAACTATATTACTAAAAATGAAATTTATTTGATTCAATTCTGAACAATAAGTTTACAAAAGAGTCCAATGCTCATTGAACCTTGATAATTTAAACATGTTTGACTTTTGTGTGACATTAAAGGAGTGGTTCTGGGCGAACAGGTGTGTTTTGCACTGCTATGGAGTGTATCGCTCAGATAGCTGAGGGAGATTCCGTCGATATTTTCCAGACAGTCAAGATACTGCGAGCTGATAGGATGCAGTTCGTTCAAACCGAGGTATGAAAACTGATTTCTTTCCTTAGCACACTAGTCAAACATAGACATATTGGCCCGAACTCACAGAGAAGGTTTGTCAACAAACCTTGGTTTTCGTACGTCATATGACGCGTTTTACGCGTTTCTTTACAAACCTGGTTTGTAAAGAACAAAAGGAGGTTTGGCGAAACAAAGGGAGGTTTGAGCTCAAACCTTGCTTTGTGAATTCGGGCCATACAGAATAGGAAACCACCATTCGTTTCGCAAAGTCGCGCTTCATTGCTTCACACACGTTGGTCTCATTTTCCCCATGTCATAGACTCTACACACAAGCGTGTTTGTGCTGACAAACGATTGTTTTCCAAAACCAAGATAAAGCCAGAAATGATATTAGTTTAAAGAAAGATAAAATAGTTCCGTACCATGTATAGTTACAACATGTAAACATTCTTTCTCGTTGTGCTATGGTATGCAGTGGAAAAATTTAAATATTAATAGATATTCGGAATATTCTGATCGGTGTCAAATCTATGACTATTTCGTATCTATTTTGTTAACATGAGAGGAATACAGCTTCTGAATCCTATATATGCGTACATTTTCTTCCTTATACAATATCATCTTTCTTCTATTTTTTAAAATTCTAATCTTCATTTCCCCATATCCACATATATGTATGTGAATACATATCAGGTAGTAAACAAGAACATTCCCTGTCTATTTTATTCAGGAGGAATATGCTTTCACCTACGAAGTCATCCGTGAATACCTGCACACTGAAAACTATGAGCAGCTTCCATACCCGATAGAGGATCACACGTATGGCAATGTCGAGATCGACTATACACTTGACCCGGGGGAGAACCCGTATGAGGTCACTGATCCGCAGGAAGCAGGTGCCACCGCACTCGTGTATGGCAATGTAGAGACTGAGAGGAGCCAGGATAGACCGAAGTCAAAGCCTCAACAACCGTACTCTGTATACGAGAACTTTGCATTTGATTCTTAAATTCATATAGCTTTGCGTTTGTTGAATGGTGGTCTGTATACGAGAACTTTGCATTTGAATCTTAAATTCATATAGCTTTGTTGGTTTAATGGTGTTCTGTACCCGAGAACTTTGTATTTGAATCTCATATTCATATAGCTTTGTTGGTTGAATGGTGTTCTGTACCCGAGAACTTTGCATTTGAATCTTAAATTCATATAGCATTGCGTTGTTTGAATGATGCTCTGTATACGAGAACTTTGCATTTGAATCTTAAATTCATATAGCATTGCGTTGGTTGAACGATGGTCCTGAAATCTCTAGATGAAACTGTATTTGTAGATATTTTTGGTTGTGAAATATTTTTCTTTTAACCTTAGAACATAAAGTGAAACTGAAGAAACATTCTTGTGGAGGGAGTTGTGGTATAGGTGGTCCATTTACTTGATTCTCAATCCAAGGTTGAGGGTTCGAATCCCAGCCCGGCACCAACATCATATGGCAAGCCATTAATACACATCTGTACAGGTGCATTATTTTTGGTGATCGAGTGAATGTTCTAAAACTTTTAATATGAAGTACATATGATGTATTAAAATGTCTTAACCCTAATAAGGTCGGGGGGGGGGGGGGCAAAATGCCCCCCGTCGATTTTTTGCCGCTGCATCAAAACCCCTGAACCTTTGGGGCTGAAATTTCATGACTGTTTCCCTCATGTCTCCCGCACATTTTGATACCAAATTTGCCATGGGTGGACATATTGTTCATGTGTTAGGTGAAAAAATATCATCACATGTCTATCAAAATTCGAATTTCTCAAAAAAAATTATTGTGTTGTTGCTGAGGTTATTTTTTAAATTACTTGTGACATTTATTTTCCATTTTGATGACGGGATCATGATGAAATTTGTGGTCAAAGACGACGAGTCCAAATCAAACTTCGGTTTTTACATGCACTTGTGATGACGATCGAACTTAAATGATCGCCATTAAATTTTAAACGTCCCACAGAAGTCAGCCGTCACTATAAACGCGTCTTAGATTGGTCTTCAATTAGATTGGTCTTCAATCTATGAAGCTTGATGTCTCATGGTAATTTAAGCAATCTAAGCAACAATTTTTGAATTTTAGCGACAATCGTTCGCCTTTGCTGCTCTTTAATACTATTATGACGTGCAGTAACAAATTGAAATTTCAGAACTCATGATAAATTCGTTTAATAGTTGATTCCACTTTAGCAGAACGAGATAGAAATTGATATTCTCATGGCTAACGACTTTGCGTTAGTAGTTATTCATCGTCTCTACAATGCTATTTGAACAATATTTGGTGACAAAAGACGGCATTTCTATGTAGCGTCAAAAGCCATCAAATAACGAAAACATGGCACATAAAAAGATTGTCAGTACTGGGTCTGATTTAAAGGAAACTTAATTTGAACCCGGCCATATTCTGTCTCTCTCTCTCTCTCTGTCGCACTCGTTTGTCATTGCCTTCATTTTCCCTCGTTTCCTTCATTCTTACCACGGAATATGTAATGTGTATGCACGTGTATGCCTCAATCATTGAGAATATACTCATTAATATCGCTGAAATGATTCTTCTCCTACCCCTTTTTCTTCATTTACTTCTTCTTAGTAGTTGTAGTTGTAGTAGTAGTAATAGCAGCAGTATCATAATAATCATTATTATTATCTTTGTTATATTTATTATTATAGTAAATATCGTAATTATAATCATTATTATATAGTAAGTATGTGTTATTGTTATTATTCTTATAGTTATTTGTATGCTTCTTCTTCGTATCATTATTATCGTATACACAATACGTCATGTGCCAAGAATTTATTGCTATGATACATCCAAGATGTCTACCAAAATTGTCAATTCGTTGCTGAAATGTTATCAAGCCAAAAGAAGGAACATTAGAATTTCTATTTTAAATTGAAATAAATTATATAGGATGACCGGGGTAATAACATTATATCTGTAAGTCGCTTTGATAGGGCCCTCCTGAAAAAGCGCCATATAAGAAAAAGTTATTATTATAATTATTATTAATATATAGAGAATACAATCATGATTTTGGAACTAGGGGATTAACATGGACATAATGCACTTGTTTTCATGTCCACATTATCTCTTATTCATTCTACCTCCAATTTTTCAGACTGTTTTCAAAACAATATCATGTTTGTCGATCCTAGTTCTACGAAGCTTGATGTCTCATAGTGATTTAACCAATCTAAGCAACAATTTCTGAATTTTAGCGACAATCGTTCGCCTTTGCTGCTCTTTAATACTATTATGACGTGCAGTAACAAATTGAAATTTCAGAACTCGTGATAAATTCGTTAACAGTTGATTCCACTTGGTTGATTCTATTGTTCGGGTTATTTAGCAGAACGAGATAGAAATTGATATTCTCATGGCTAACGACTTTGCGTTAGTAGTTGTTCATCGTCTCTACAATGCTATTTGAACAATATTTGGTGACAAAAGACGGCATTTCTATGTAGCGTCAAAAGCCATCAAATAACAAAAACATGGCAGATAAAAAGATCCTCAGTACCGGGTTTAATAATTTAAAGAACACTTAATTTGAACCCGGCCATATTCTCTCTCTTACTCGTTTGTCATTGCCTCCATTTTCCCTCGCTTACTTCATTCTTACCACGGAATATGTAATGTGTATGTGTAGGCCTCATTATGTTAATTAGGGTCAATGGTCAAATTGTCTCAATATATCTTCCATACATCTATAATGATCAAGGCTAAACAGTAGACACTTGACATATGGATAGATTATAATGGGAGAAGCATTTTATATAACAATATGACATCGTGAAAATGCATTCTTTATTATGTAAATCATTAGCATACGTATCACCTAATTCGTCAAAGTGACGAATTAAAGTCTAGTTCAGTTTAATTTTGGTGATTACAAGAGGTGGGTCTATATAGACAAATGCTCATGTGCCCCTTACAGCTCATGTTATGTATGTTATTACCAAAGAAGAAAAAAGCAAGTCAGTCACTCAATAGTGTCTGACAGTGAAGTCTAGCAAGTAAACGGGTTTCCATGTATAATTTGAATATTAGGACACTGCTAACGTTCAAATGTTACAGATAGGACATACATGACATTCATAATTCCTGCAAAGTTCTACAGAATTTGAGGTTGGCTGCAAAAGAGACATAGTATCTTTAAGACTCATGTAAACCTGCAATATTAGCTAGGTTCTTTCGTTGAATTAATGAATGTGAATTTGAAGTCTATAATGGTGTGTGTTGCAGAAAATGATGATATACATGTACAAATGCTAATTAACATCTTTTCTATTTTTGAATTGCACTTATTATTGAAATATATTTTTCAAAGGGTGCAGGTTTGTGTAGCGAATTCGTACGACTGACTGATTTATTGTAAATAAAGAGCAAATTCCATTACTATTTACATTAACAAACCACAATAAAAGCAGACAGTTCTTTCTAAATGCTGCATGCCAATAGCTGATGTATTTGAAAATGATTAACGAATATGCTCAAAGTCACTATAGCCTTTTAAAACTGCATGTAAGTGAACTAAAAAAGTGTGCTTATTCTTTGCAAAGTATAAATGTTTAAAGTATAAATGATATTAGATACATTTCTAGTAATGGTTGATTTCCATTTAAAGCAAGTAGTCTCGAATTCACACTTATCATGCTTGTAATTGTTAGAAATAAATGTATAACTTGTGCTTGTCACACTTTTTATATCCCCCTCTGTATCATCAAGTGCATAATAACCACATAATATTAAAAATGCAGACAAAAAAAATCGTTTTGTTTTCATTTTCATTTGATGTTCTTTATTCGCTTAAAATTCAACAGCACATAATGAAAACAAATCAAGGTTAAAAAATTGAGGTTACCATGATATAAACTAAATTCTAAAAATTGATACAAATAAACAGAGTAATATGCTCAGGGAGACAGGCAAACATACCAGTAATAGTTGTGCAATTAAATAAATCAAACAAATGCAATCTTGTTTAAACAAAATAAATCATAAGATTTACATTTATTATTTGCAGTATTTGTTATTACGTGTCGGGGATGTGAAGGAACTGCTCGAAATAGAAATTACACAATTACCATATTTATAGAATAAACGTATATCCGTTCATTTATTTCGCACACATGTCACAACCATAATCATAAAATTAGATTATGAATAAGAATAAATGATGATAATGACCCAAATAAAATAGTATTCAATTCCATCGCAATAATGTTGATATATTTAATTGGCTTTATCAAATAGTAAGCCTTGCCAAGAATTCATAAATCTACAAAATAAAATATATATTTTAGATAATAATTAATTAATCATATTGTTTGGCCTGTACATAAATTACTTCGGAAAGCAAGTTCAATACCTCTTTATGACCTAAAAGCAAAAGACAACTGATGCTGAATTATAAGTCTCATGTTCTTATGCCATAGATATTCGTTTAACCTATCTGTTTAAAATGAAGTCCTCCTCAAATACGCTGTATATTTGTGCCGCAGTACGAAAACAGTACCGACAACATCAGTCTGATATGTATATATGTACACATGTTTATCTTTTGGTAATGGTTAACAATATAGTTAACAAATATATAGTTCATACTCTTACCAAGATGTATTATTGCTTAAGTATGTGAAAATGTATTTGTCCCGAATAATTTTCTTGAGAATTTGATATATTAATGCTTACATCTAAAATTACTCGAGAGAATATATATATATATATATATATATATATATATCATCTGCGAGAATCTTACATCATAACACCGGCTATTTCTCCTAGGACATCCAGTTCAGATCAAGTTAACAACTAAATTATTCATACACTTACCAAGCCTGCCAATCAATACTTCCAAAATGATTGGCTTATAAAGTCTGCTATGGAGCTGTTTTACATTTCGGGTAAAATACTTAGCCAGAAGCATCAACTATAAACCAAAATTGCCTAATCTTTTTATTTAAATTTTCATCAGAGATAATCACGGAAATGCATTTTCACGCCTGTTTGAGAAAGGGAAAAAGCATTTTGCCATTATTTACAGTGCAAATTCCAGGTTAAGAAAAAGAATTGTCGTGGTAAATCGGGGGCTATGAAACAAATAAAACAAACCCTTATTAATAAACAAAAAACAACGTTGATTTGTACTTTGCTATCGACAGGTAAGAACCATACACGTAGTCATTGAACTAATAAATAATGTGATGATGATTTGATCGAATTCGACCTTCAGAGAATCCAAGTTCCTTCCTATTTCTTGGTATTAGCAACGGATGGTATGGCCACCAATACAAAATTATCTGGCAAAGAAAGTACTAGGAAACATGTAGAATCATCATTAAAATATATCAAGCTTCTACATGACATGTAATGATGGAAAATTGGAACTCACAGTTGAAAATTGTTCAATTCCAATGTTCTGTGCCTTTTGAAGTGCAAAATATATTCAATGTATTCATTCCTACCGTTGTGAGTATAAAGATCATACAAAATACAATGAGAGCACATCATATCATTAAATATATGTTGCCACACGTCTGTACACGAGGCACCGGGGGAAGGGGGTTCCCTCAAACTATCTCAATCTTTAAAAAATGGTAAAACAAGGAGGAAGGGAGAGGAACATAAAACGAAGGCGATAATACTCCCTTCCCCGAACCCACAGTAATGATATGGTCACATTACCCAAAAGTAGCCCGCTCGGCGGCCGAGCGGCGAGTTTTTAACCAATTCTGCCCGGCGGCTGCCCGGCCACCGAGCGGCGACCGCTCGGGCACCGCTCGTTTTTAGGGCATCGCTCGGTCGCCGCTGAAGTTTTAGCGCGGAGTTAAAATTTGGGCAGCGCCTGCTCATTTTTCACTCGCCGCCCAAAATACGCTCGGTGCCTGGGCGGTCGCCGCCCGGGCACAGACTTAATCGCTGGGCGATGCCTAAATTCCAGCAGCGACCGAGCAGGCTACTGATCGGTCGGTCGCTGCTCTGATTTGTGACCATAGCTTAAGAGCCGTGCGTTTCCCAAACTTTCACTATGAACATGACTGACAAAGAAAGCGTACAAAATATTCAGTTTCTCAGGTAGACA